TCTAAAAAAAACATTCAGGGCATAAGTGTTACAAAAGCAAACTGTGGCAAGTTTTTGTTCACGTCTTGTCTCTCCGCCCGTCCCATCTGGAACACACTACTTCCGATATTCCCCAACTGCGTGAGTCTTGGTGACATTTCGTAACACACGGAAGCCAACGCGAAAAATACATGCGAGCAGTTCGTGATGCAAAGACGACAGCAAACTGAGCCAAGACAGAGAATGGCTCCAAAAATTATCTGTTAAAGTTCACGTGTTAAACTTTAAAATTATACAAATTTTAAAACGAACACATTTTTTTAAGTTTCAGGCTTTCACAGCGGCGTGTATGAAAATTTTCTATCTTCTGGACTGTATCGCCGTACAATTCATCGACGTTTCGGAGGGGCCTACTGCGTCCATAATCAGGGCGATGTGATCGCACTGTTTATGGAAGCAGTATGCACCTCCGAAACGTCGAAATTTCTAAATGACTATACGGCGCTACAATCCAAAGGACAGCCATCTCTGTACTTACTTAATATTATAATAAATTTTAACGAAACAGCGTGGGCTGGATTCATCTGGCTAAGGTTAGGGGCCAGTGGACCTGTATTCAAGCATCGGATTTTAAAGGCGGCGAATTTCTTGAGTAACTGAGCGACTATCAGCTTTCCAAGGAGAACTGTTATCATGGAATTGGTTACTTGCAGTCTTCGGTATTCTCTGCACATTCTTCGTCTCCAAGACGACGTCAAAGTTACTGACAATCCGTCTGCGCGTCTCGACGTCCATCCGATTGAAAACAGCGTCAGTCAACACGTTCAGGTTGACATCGGTTGTGACCACACGCAGCCACGTATCAAACGGTAAACCACCCTGAAGATGGTTGTTTCGACTTTAAGTCCAGCAGAAGTAAAGGGACGTTTCAAAGGTCCTTGCTGCCTCCATCATCAACTACACGGCGGTACAACCCAGAAGACAGTCATCCTCGGACTCCCCGACGTAAAAAAAAAAACTGAAAATCTCAAAAACACTTGTTCACGACGATGAGAATGCTTCGACTGTGACATTTACCGACAGTTTATCAACTGCACAACTTTTACGCGTCGGACGAAGAACCGTGGGAGAATGAACAGAACAAGTAAACTGCAGTTTTGAAGGCAGGACCTCCGAAACACGAAGCAGGTTTACCAACCGCTGCACCCCCGACGTTCAGAAAACATTAATGCATTAACTCGATGCCGTGGGCCTAGACTTGTCTGTTAGAGTTAATACGGAAATATTCTTAAATTCATTTTCTGTCAAATTTC